TCCTTTTGGAGATTCTCCATGGGACTCCCTTGAGGACTGAGGAGTAAATCACAGTAGGCTTTTCCCTTCCTTTATCCACTCTAAGTTATATAAGGGGACGTTCACTCTGTGACCTGCCTCTTCAAACGCTGTTACCTTTGAATACAATAAGATCGATCTTCTCTAATTATTAAGAAACTTTGCCTCACATTTAAAGAACTTTTTCGATAACATATGTTATAACTTAATCCATGTAAATGACTGATTGTCTTATTCCTTTTTAGATTCATATTATTCCCTTTATAATTATACTTTTGGGTTAAACTCTCTGGCTCCTCCTCCTCTCTCTGTTACAGTAGATACTCGTCTTTCAGGTTTCTTATCTTTCTTATCACATTCCACCAAAACCTGCATGAATTAGGACCTGGCCTGTTCCTGTCAGAGCTAACTGGCCAATAACACTCGTCCTCCTGTTGGAGGCCCAGAGGAAAACTGTCTATCACACCCGGAAATACAGACTTTTTTCTAACTGAGATCCTCCGGGAGCTTTGTCTGTGAGAGCCCAGCTGCTTTACTCTGCTTGGGACCAATAAATGTCATATTTATACTCTTGATCTGCTCTGGTTTATTCTCAGGCTTCCAGCTAAAGATTTGGGCTAACACACTGCTGGATAGTCTCATTTCCAACCTTTTTTTTTTTTAAGAAAATGCCACTTTTGAGTCTCTTTTCTTGTTTATTCTGAGCTTTAGTCTCACAGAAATCAGCTAAAACTACAAACTGTAACAGGAAATGGGAAAAACGGACCGATATTCATTAGTGTCTGTCTGCCTGTGACCTAATAAATGTCATATTTTCTACTCTCGATCCTCTCCGGTTTGTCCTCAGGCTTCCAGCTAAAGAACAGGACTAACACACTGCTGGATAGTCTCATTTCTTACCTTTTTTTTTTTAGAAGAAAATGCCACTTTTGAGTCTCTTTTCTTGTTTATTCTGAGCTTTAGTCTCACAGAAATCAGCTAAAACTACAAACTGTAACAGGAAATGGGAAAAGCTGACCGATATTCTGTCTGCCTGTGACCTATAAAATTTCATTTTTATACTCTTTATCTGCTCTGGTTTATTCTCAAGCTTCCAGCTAAAGATTTGGACTAACACACTGCTGGATTGTCTCATTTCCAACCTTTTTTTTTTTTTAGAAGAAAATGCCACTTTTGAGACTCTTACTCTTGTTTATTTTGAGCTTTTGAGCTTTAGTCTCACAGAAATCAGCTAAAACTACAAACTGCGACAGGAAATGGGAAAAACTGACCGATATTAATTAGTGTCTGTCTGTCTGCCTGTGACCCAATAAATGTCATATTTGTACTTTTGATTTACTCTGGTTTGTTCTCAGGCTTCCAGCTAAAGATTTGGGCTAACACACTGCTGGATAGTTTAATTTCCAACCCTTTTTTTTTTAGAAGAAAATGTCACTTTTGAGTCTCTTACTCCTATTTATTCTGAGCTTTAGTCTAACAAAAATCAATGTAAACTACAAACTAACAGGAAACTGGAAAAACTGACCGATATTCAATAGTGTCCGTCTCCCTGTGACCTAATAAATGTCATATTTGTTCTGTTGATCTACTCTGGTTTATTCTCAGGCTTCCAGCTAAAGAATCTGGCTAACACAATGCTTGGTAGTCTCATTTCTGACCCTTTTTTTAGAAGAAAATGTCACTTTTGAGTCTCTCTTCTTGTTTATTCTGAGGAAAAACTGACCGATATTTATTAGTTTCTGTCTGCCTGTGACCTAATAAACGTCATATTTATACTCTCGATCCTCTCCGGTTTATTCTCAGGCTTCCAGCTAAAGAATCGGGCTAACACACTGCTGGATAGTTTAATTTCCCGACCCTTTTTCTAAGAAAATGTCACTTTTGAGACTGTTACTCCTATTTATTCTGAGCTACAAACTGTAACAGGAAATGGGAAAAACTGACCGATATTTATTAGTTTCTGTCTGCCTGTGACCTAATAAACGTCATATTTTCTACTCTTGATCCTCTCCGGTTTGTCCTCAGGCTTCCAGCTAAAGATTCGGGCTAACACAGTGCTGGATAGTCTCATTTCTGATCCTTTTTTTAGAAGAAAATGTCTCTTTTGCGTCTCTCTTCTTGTTTATTCTGAGGAAAAACTGACCGATATTTATTAGTGTCTGTTTGCCTGTGACCTAATAAACGTCATATTTTCTACTCTCGATCCTCTCCGGTTTATTCTCAGGCTTCCAGCTAAAGAACCAGACTAACACAATGCTGGATAGTCTAATTTCCCGACCCTTTTTCTAAGAAAATGTCACTTTTGAGACTCTTACTCCTATTTATTTTGAGCTTTAGTCTCATAAAAATAAGATAAAACTACAAACTGTAACAGGAAATGGGAAAAACGGACCGATATTAATTAGTGTCTGTCTCCCTGTGACTTAATAAATGTCATATTTGTTCTGTTGATCTGCTCTGGTTTATTCTCAGGCTTCCAGCTAAAGAATCTGGCTAACAATGCTGGATAGTCTCATTTCTGATCCTTTTTTTTAGAAGAAAATGTCTCTTTTGCGTCTCTCTTGCTTATTCTGAGGAAAAGCTGACCGATATTTATTAGTTTCTGTCTGCCTGTGACCTAATAAACGTCATATTTATACTCTCGATCCTCTCCGGTTTGTCCTCAGGCTTCTGGCTAAAGAACAGGACTAACACACTGCTGGATAGTCTCATTTCTTACCTTTTTTTTTTCTAAGAAAATGTCACTTTTGAGACTGTTACTCCTATTTATTCTGAGCTACAAACTGTTACAGGAAATGGGAAAAACTGACCGATATTTATTAGTTTATGTCTGCCTGTGACCTAATAAACGTCATATTTTATACTCTTGATCCTCTCTGGTTTGTCCTCAGGCTTCCAGCTAAAGATTTGGGCTAACACACTGCTGGATAGTCCATTTCTGACCCTTTTTTTTTAGAAGAAAATGTCACTTTTGAGACTGTTACTCCTATTTATTTTGAGCTTTAGTCTCATAAAAATAAGATAAAACTACAAACTGTAACAGGAAATGGGAAAAACTGACCGATATTTATTAGTGTCTGTCTGCCTGTGACCTAATAAACGTCATATTTATACTCTCGATCCTCTCCGGTTTGTCGTCAGGCTTCTGGCTAAAGATTGGGGCGGGAAGGAAAGATTCGGACAGTAGCCGGAGGCGGGAAGGATACGAAGAACAGCAGGACCTGGTGGTGGCGCAGGGCGCCGCACAGCCCGGCGAGCGCCACCAGCAGCAGGAAGGCGCCCACGCCCACGGCCGCCGCCACCACGCCGAAGCTGGACACCAGCCCCAGCCACCGGCCCCAGGCCGCCACGCCCATCAGCAGCAGGCTCACCATCTGAGGGGCAGAGAAACAGAGGAAAATCAGGGGGGGACACACAGGGGGGACACACAGAGGGCTCCAGACTCAGAAAACCAGCAGAAAAAGACAAAAAAACGACGAAAATGGACAAAAAAAAGATCAAAAGGTGGAGGAAAAGATCAGAAAATGACTAATAACACCAATAATTCATTAGAAAACCTGCAGAAAATGAGCAGAAAATGACAGAAAAACGTCCGAAAATGGACACAAAATATCAGAAAAAGGGGGATAAATTGCATAAAATGATAAAAGATGACAAAAAAGAGCAGAAATGGACACAAAAAGATCAGAAATTGACTAATAACACCAATAATTGAATAGAAAATGAGCTAAATATTTGACAAAAGATCAGAAAAAGGGGGGAAAATTTGCATAAAATGACAAAAAAACGTCCGAAAATGGACACAAAAGATCAGAAAAAGGGGGATAAATTGCATAAAATGATAAAAGATGACAAAAAAGAGCAGAAATGGACACAAAAAGATCA